GGTTCTACTAATTGTGAGTGTAAGTATTACCAAAATAAGAAGTTACAAAGGTAGTTACAGTTGAGGCCACTTAAGGACATCTTACTGTAAGAAAAAGAGGTTCTTATGGGGTTAAAGAATAAATTTACATTTTAGTTTTAGAGCTTTAAAATTTCTGGTTTTAGTATATTGAAAACACAAAAGGTATCCCCCCACCCCTTCAAAAAAAAAAAATCTATGACAGGATTTAATCAGGAACTTCCACAGACATTTCCTTATTCATTTTTGGACTTCAGAACTTTTTTTTTCCTTTTAAATGTTGATGACCTTCATCTTCCTTAAGTATTTACTTCCAATTATAAAACAGTAATAAGTGTCAAATCTCAGTTAAGTTTTCTGTCATCTTATTTACCTTTAGTTCTTTAAGTCCCTACTCTCATTTCTTAATAGTTGTCTCTTCTTTGGAAAAATCCTTAAAATTGAAAGTAAAGTATTTTCTAATTTTCCTAATAATTATTAGCACATTAATGACTACAGATTTGGCATGGTGACTTATTTTTTAGGCTTTGACAAAAGAGACACTCAACAGTAATTTTAAATGGAAACTATTTTCAAGGTTTCATTTAGATTAAAGAATTTGAGTCCCTGTCTTTTCAGGAAGCAACAGAAGTGGAGGCCCGGGGAGCAACAAAGGGCAGTGGAGCCAAGGGTGATCTCAACTCCTGAGTTCCTGGAAAACTGCTGCCTCCCATACTGGCCTCATTGGCTTTTTTGGACTTACTCCTACTGTTCAGACTCTACTACCTAAATAGTTTGAACAAGAAGAGACCCCAAATGCCAAGAAACTATTGTCTGCTGACTAAACCATACATCAGAATTGTCTGGGGCATTTTTAAGTGGTCAACTGCTAAAACAAAAGGGTGATGGTTCAAATACACCAGCAGCTCCTTGGAAGAAAAGATCTGCCAATCTGGTCCCATAACAGATTTTAGCCTAGGAAACAATCTCTGTGGGCCAGCTCTGTTCTTGGGGACACTGTAAGTATAGATTGACTCGATAACACACGTTTCTTCTTACAGTGAAACCTGTAAGAGTTGGAACTTGGTGGGACTGTCCTGTTTTTCACAGACATTTCTTTGTTCATTTTTGGACTTCAAGATTTTTTTTTTCCTTTTAAATGTTGATGACCTTCAACTTCCTTAAGTATTTACTTCCAATTATAAAGCAGTAGTAAGTGTCAAATCTCAGTTAAGTTTTCAGTCATCTTATTTACAAGTTTTCCGCCTTTGATGGTGCATTCACCATTTTTCTGTTGTTCTCTATTTATTGTAAAATACTTGAGTTTTCTTTCTCTGACAAGTTTCTGCCTTACACAGGTTCTACTTTTTACAAGTTTATATATATATATATATACACACACACACACACAGAAAGTTTACAGAGCCCTACACCCAGAAATTCAGATTCTTTTGTCCTTTAGACTGGTCAGAACCAGGAATATATGTTTTCAGTAAATGTTGCCACATGATTATTATGTTGTTCAGGAACCACTGACTGAGAGTCCTCAGGCAGATAGACCATACTTGGGTGCCTGTGGTTTTTGGCATCTAGTCTTCGGAGCCATGAAGAGTGATGGAAACTGGTACGCTGAGGTCACAAGAAGGGCATTCCTGATAGTGTCAGACATCTGCCCCAAATGAGAACTTTGTACAACCTGTTAACCTAGACCTTAGAGTACAACTAGAACTCAAACTTGGGAACCTACAGGGGAAGACATACTTTCAGCTGCCTTGAGGTCTTCTCAAGGATCAAATAAGTATTATTCTTGTCTTCTACTGGTGAATACTGATGAGGTACATACCTATAAATCAACGCCAGGGATTCTTTAAACATGGAATTATGCCCTTTTCTTATAAAAGGACATTAATTTTTCAACTAAGACTTGGAAAAATGAAAACATCAAAAGGGGAGAAACAACCAGTTGATAGAACTTTCAATTTATGGCAAAATGAACAACTGCCTCAAAAAGGTAACATTTTGTATCCTCTTCTTTAATCACAAGCATTATGAGCCATCACAGTAAACAGTATCTGATGGTTTCTGTGATAATGACAGGGGTAAGCATGTTACAGGAGCCTAGGTGTCCAATTGGATAATTCATATCTTATTCAGATAAAAAGGTATAACTCATTAACGCAAAAAACAATTGTGTGGGTGCTTAAAGAAGATGTAACTTTGCAGTTAAATTTTGTGTGTATTAATAAATAATGACTACCTAGAGAACCACCCAGTGACCCAATTCACCTACTATGGAGTATTTTTGAAGAATCTCAGAATTATATGAAAGTCATGTTTTATTTTCCTTAGGATGTTAAGAAACTTACTAATCAGTTGTCACAAGCATCTACACAATCATAGTATGTTGATATGAATCATGAAGGAAACACTGACTAAAATGATAAAATTTCTGTGTTGAGTCACATTCTGAACATACTAGGTTTGTCTTGAGCTCTATCATTGCATGAATGTGATGAAATATATGCAGCAGTTTATCATCTTATAGTTGTTATTATTTGTTCTCCTCACTCCCCACAATTGGAGTACCTCTGAGCAAAAGCAGACAACACTGGCAAAATACAGTAATTTTCTACAAACAGAATTAGGGTTGATTTATACATCATTACATGGAAACTATCTATTGATATAGCTCCAAAAATTGTTATGTTTGCTAGACCCTCATGGGTTGCACTTCATTCTTAGTCTTGTATTTTCTTCTAAATTCTAGGGTTGTTTTTTTTAATCCCTCCTTTTACATTCTCTCACCAAACTGTCCATTAAGGCTAATTTACTCCCTCTCACTTCAAGCCTTCCTTTGGCTATTTAACTCTTTGTCCACCACCCTTGCAAGCCTTTGTTCTTGTGTGATTGCTTTTTGCATACATGGATTTCACTGTCTAAACTGTCACTTCAGAATCTAAAATGTTCCTTCTTAAAAGCAGAAGGGAAGCTCCCTTTTTTGTGACCACAGGGAGAGCATTACTTTTGTGACCTGCCTACACCCTCCCCTCCCTTCAGTTCTCCCAGAATTCTTTTACACCAGTGTCTGGGCTCTCATCAAATACCCAAAAACTGCTGATCTAGGTAGGGGGTGCATACTTCAGTTTTATGGGTCAGCCATCTCTTCTTTGTTCCATCCAGAAAGTCTTAGGCCAGGTTTCCATTTCATGTGTTCATGGCCTCTATGGCCAGGAGATGCAGTCATTAAACAGAAAAGCACCATTGCATGATAGGGAAGAAGACTCCTCTGGAGTTCATTGGCTTCCTGCAATGAGAATATTGCACATAGTTCAACGCAGATGGGAAACTCTTTTATATTTATATAGCAAGCATATTTCTAAGCCCACGTAATCCTACTTTTAGTTACACTATTTAAAATTCATTACTAGACTCCCCAAAAGTCTTTGCTTTGCTTGTTTTAATTATTAAATAATCTTTGAGTACTTCATCCTTCTAAACCCTGCAATTGCTACTGTCTGCTGAAAATTAGGCTACATTATCTATGCCTGCCACATGTCATGTTATCCATTTCTTTCCAGCTTCCAGCCCTTGTTACGATTTTATATACCAAAGCATGGAAATATTTGTAGCCTTACCCCACTTTTACTATAATTTTAAAACCAGTGTGATGTGTTAGAAAGCCATGGTTTAGGGATTATAAACCCTTGAGTCTTCTTTTAGCTCAGCTGGTAGCTGAATATTTTCTGTCCTGTTTGGAACTCAGTATTTCACCAGTGAAATGGACTTTGGGCAATTGAGAGTATGCATAGTATATACGGAACTAGATTTAAAAAAAAAAAAAAAAAAAAAAAACTTTTGGGATCCCTGTCAGCCCTGCAGACTTAGATCTTTTCCTCATCCTCAATTATGTGGATATTCTAGGTTTCAATATCTAGCGATTTATAGGAAGGAGAAAGATGTGGCAGTCTGCTTCTGTAAAGATTTACAGTCTTGGAAAACCTATGGGACAGTACTACTCTATCCAGTAGAGTTCTATAAGTCAAAATAGACTCATGACAGCAATAGGTTTTGGAAATTGAATGTGCAAATTAAAGACTGAAAGCCCAGTAAGGGAACTGTCAAATGTACAGCAATCAAGAGATGAAAACTAATCATTTTTGCTGGAGAAAATGCTCTAAAATGGTCATTTTTATTTCTCATGATATAAAATTACAATTACTTTGGAGACAAGTTGTATTTTTCCTTATAATGTGATGTGCTTATGGTCTTTATTTGTGAAAGTATATTCCTGAATAAAACACACTGTGGAGATGGTGAGTTTCAGTACAACAAATTTTTCTCTGGGCAGAAGACAGATTTTTGAACCACGTAAGACACTGTACTTAAGAAGAAATGGAAAAGTATAAAGAGTGTTATACAGAGTATGTACAAATTACATAGATATGTCAACAGGAGACATTTCAGAGGAAAATTAGAAATACAGTGATATATAACGGGATTGAGGTTTGGGAACTGAGATGTGTATGAGTGTGAATGTCCATGTGTTTTTACCTCTTTTCTTAGACATCTATGCATGAATAACACTGGTGAACATTTTGCTTAGGCATGCATCCAGACACAGGTCTACCAGGCAAGAACTGTCCTCATTTATCAGATGGATAAAATAAGCATAGCCACTTAGCACAGACAGCTTCTCAAGTCACATGGCAAGGCAGTGGTTGAGCAAGTAATACATCTTCATATGTTGAAATTGCAATTCACTCTTGGCCACATAGGCTGTGTTGCTTCTAAGATTTAGCTCAAATTATGAGACCTGTTTTGGGGAAAAGTGGAACTAGAAGAATTTGCACTTGGGGTTTTTGGAAAAGTGCTAGAACAAGAAAGATATGAAAAATTGAACAATATTTTGACTACTGATTGAAGGAGACTTACTAAACAAATAATTTGAAATCTGTGATCATTTAGTTATCTTTTTGTTTCTTTTCAGAAGGCGCCCAGGCAACATGGGTGACTGGAGTGCGTTAGGCAAACTCCTTGACAAAGTTCAAGCCTATTCTACCGCTGGAGGGAAGGTGTGGCTCTCGGTCCTGTTCATTTTCCGAATCTTGCTCCTGGGGACAGCAGTTGAGTCAGCCTGGGGTGATGAGCAGTCTGCCTTTCGCTGTAACACTCAGCAACCTGGTTGTGAAAACGTCTGCTATGACAAGTCTTTCCCAATCTCTCACGTGCGCTTCTGGGTCCTTCAGATAATATTTGTCTCTGTCCCCACACTCTTGTACCTGGCTCATGTGTTCTATGTGATGCGAAAAGAAGAGAAACTGAACAAGAAAGAGGAGGAACTCAAAGTTGCCCAAACCGATGGTGTCAATGTGGAGATGCACTTGAAACAGATTGAAATAAAGAAGTTTAAGTACGGTATTGAGGAGCATGGGAAGGTGAAAATGCGAGGAGGCTTGCTGCGGACCTACATCATCAGTATCCTCTTCAAGTCCATCTTTGAGGTGGCTTTCTTGCTGATCCAGTGGTACATCTATGGATTCAGCCTGAATGCAGTGTACACTTGCAAAAGAGATCCCTGCCCACATCAAGTGGATTGCTTCCTTTCTCGTCCCACAGAGAAAACCATCTTCATCATTTTCATGCTGGTGGTATCCTTGGTGTCTCTTGCCTTGAACATAATTGAACTGTTCTATGTCTTCTTTAAGGGTGTTAAGGATCGTGTGAAGGGAAAGAGTGATCCTTACCATGCTACCACTGGTCCACTGAGCCCCTCCAAGGACTGTGGATCTCCAAAATATGCTTATTTCAATGGCTGCTCCTCACCAACTGCTCCACTCTCGCCCATGTCTCCTCCTGGGTACAAGCTGGTTACTGGAGACAGAAACAATTCTTCTTGCCGCAATTACAATAAACAAGCAAGTGAGCAGAACTGGGCTAATTACAGTGCAGAGCAGAATCGAATGGGGCAGGCAGGAAGTACCATCTCTAACTCCCACGCACAACCTTTTGATTTCCCTGATGATAATGAGAATTCCAAAAAATTAGCTGCTGGGCATGAACTACAGCCACTAGCCATAGTGGACCAGCGGCCTTCCAGCAGAGCTAGCAGTCGCGCTAGCAGCAGACCTCGGCCTGATGACCTGGAGATCTAGATACAGGCTCAGAGAATCGAGATTCCACTCAGTTGTGGAGAAGAAAAAAGGTGCTGCAGAAAGTGCACCTGAGGTGTTAATTTCGTTCCAGTAGAGGTGGTACTTAACAGTCTCAGTCGAGGCTTAGAAAACACAGACATTAGAATACCTGGGTTCATTGAGGGTATCTGGGATAGGTGGGTGGAGAGGGAGGGGAAAGGGAGGTACATGTTGGTATTTAAAGTAGTTGATTCAAAGAACTTAAATTCTAAATAAAAGTTGCATTAGGTGATATGTAGGCAAAGGCTTTTTCTCCCCCATAGCTCCCTAGAAGGTTCTGTGTATGAAAAAGTGGGTAATATCTGTGGCTAACTAATTTCTTGTCTTACCAAGAACTGAAGTAACTTTGGCCAGGAAAAAGTGCTTCCAGAACATCTTATTTCTTTTGAGTAAAAAAGTGACAAGATTGTCCTAATGTCCCTGTTAAAACATTCCATTGTTAAAATTTGCACTTCAAGGCCTGACCCTCCAGGTGTCAGTGGACTTGTGCTACTATGTGTTCTATTTTTGGTATCAGTTAAAAATTTACACGTGGCTCGAAGAAAAAGATTTTTCCATGCATTTGCAAATCTCAGCCAATTATGTGGACATTCTGTTTTACATCCACTTGCATCATATCATTACCATCACTCCTTTGTCATCATTCCTCAACTACTATTCACATTCATTTAATGGTTTCTATAAGCATTTTTAAAAACAGTGTGGATGTCACTTAATATTTTTTTCAGTTAGAGTCAGGGAGGCAAGCCATACTCAATATTTAACAATCACTTGTATTTGTATGTGTGTGGAAGAGTGTTTGTTTGTCATGTATTGGTACAAGCAGATGCAATATAAACTCACAAACACAGATTTGAAAATAATGCACCCACAGTGTTCAGATTTGAACCTTTCTCATGGATTTTGTGGTGTGGGCCAATATGGTGTTTACATTGTGTAGTTCCTGCTGTGCAAGTAAAGCACACTTTTTTTTCTTCCCCCTAAAATGGTATTTTCCTTGTGTATCCTATTATGGATATTGGCTTTGTTAATTATGATTCTTTTTTTTCCTTTTTTTCTTTCTCTTTTTTTTTTTAGAATATAGCAGTAATGCTATTGCTGAAATGAATGATTTCCTTTTTCTGAATTATAATCATTGATGCTTGAATGATAGAATTTTAGTACTGTAAACAGGCTTTAGTCATTAATGTGAGAGACTTAGAAGAAAAAACATAGAGTGGACTGTTAAATGTGCCTAAATGAATTTTGCTGTTACTGGTATACTTAGTTTTGTCCTACTTAATACACATTAATTCAGAATTTGCATAGTATTATGAATTTGACAGTCAATCTTTTGGAGTGACCAGCAACTTGATGTTTGCACTAAGATTTTATTTGGAATGCAAGAGAAGTTGAAAGCAGTTTCAGTAGTACACATGTAACTAATTTATTTGAAATACATGTTAAAGAAATCTACCAGTTTTCAAGTGCCTTTTTAGAACTTATCACAGATGATTGATGAAAGTACTGAGTATCATACTTTTTTCCTTGCACATCAGCTACATAAACAGTTTTGTACCATGAAAAGTACTAATTTGTTTGACATTCCATGTTAAACTACTGTCCTGTGCAGCTTCATTGCATGTAACGTAGAACTAGTCCATCATATCATGTGTTGTTTTCTGGAGAGTGTTCTTTATTCAATAAAGTTTTAATTTAGTGAAAGATAGCTTTGTTATTCTGAGTTTTTTTTTTAAATCTTTCATTTTAACAATTCACAATTATCAAAGACATTTTCATTAGTTATGAGTTCTTATGCAAGTAAGATGTACGTTTTCTTCAAAAGGACGTTTATCATTAGATAGGTTCTATACAACATGGAATTTTAACATTTTTTGATATTTATTCAACTAAGAACATACATACAAATGTACATTTATAACTTTAATATGATGTTTGATCACTCACTCACTGCCATCGAGTTGAATCAGACTCACAGCGACTCCTCCTTGGGTTTCCGAGGCGATATCTCTACATAAGTAGATTCCCCAGTCATCCTTCCAAGGATGTTTGATAGGACTTGAAAAAAGTTAATATTAAGTAACTTAATAGACCTATATTTGACAGACAGAGCCCTGGTGGGGCAGTGGTAAAGTGCTTGACTGCTAGTTGAAAGGTCAGTGGTTCGAACCTACCATCTGCTCCATGGAGAAAGATGTGGCAGTCTGTCTTCTGTAAAGATTACAGACTTGGAAACCTTGTGGGGAAGTTCTATTCTGTCCTATTGAGTGTCTGTGGGTTAGAATTGACTCACAGCAATGGGTTTTTGGTTTGTTTTACATGACATAACAAGTATATGGAGTTAAGAATGCTGAAATTGTAAAGCTGTAGAGCCTCCTGAAGAAGAAAAAATAATTGGTTTGAGTACACACTCACTCCTTACTTACCAATATGGTTAAGTTCCAAAGACCAGGTTATTATGCAAAAATCGGCTTTATGTGAAAATGGCAGATTACTACACACATAACTGCCAAACCACTGAGAATCACGGCCTAGCCTTAACACATAACCATCACAACCAGTGTTATTCTCACCTCACCCCTTGGAGTTTGTTACTGCCAGATAAAGGTGGTTAATGAGTGACATAGTCAAATAGTAGATTTATTTTTGTCATAAATGCAAAATATTGGACAATGAGATAATAAATGAGGAGAGGTGTAGTTACATCAGCAAAAGAATGGAATACACATAGTGATTCTGTGATTCTAAGACAAAAATACAGACACCCAAGAGGGGAAAAATTCATCAAAGGGAGTAAAATAATTCTGGGAAATTGGTAATATTGCTAAAGATTTAACTATAAAATATATTACCAACAGTGTAAGTTACACTTAAAGTTTTTTAATTCATTAAAATTGTTTACATAACACATTTATTAGCCACCCCAAAGCAAACAACTAAAAGTAGAGCATGAAAATATTAGTAATTAAGAAATAATCCAGTCCACTTTAGTTGTATTTTTTTGGAGAAAGAAGATAATCAATGCCTACAAAATTTACCTAAAATCAAGGGATTATCAAATCTGTTTCCCAGTTGATAGATGTAAGTCAATATTTTCAAATATAATTTCACCAGTTGAGAGTAAGTTTGGGAGAAGCAAGTTTTCTCTGTGTATACATGTCTATATATGTTTATTTACAATGGAAAATGGAGAAACTGATCATTTATTTGTGTTTTTGTGTATCTTGTACAACGGGGTGAGAGGGTGTGGATGAATAAATGATTAATAAATGATGTTTAAGCATATTATGCATGTGCACAATTTAAAAAAAACTTAACAGTTTATAAAATGGAGAGACAAACCTCTCACCTCTCCCCATTCTCCAACATACACACTAAAACCCTTTGCTGTGAAGTTGATTCTGACTCATAGTAACCCTACAGGACAGAGTAGAATTACCCAAAGGGTTTCTAAGGCTGTAATCTTTATATAAGCAGGCTGCCACATCTTTCTCCCACACAGAGGCCGCTGGGTTCAAACTGCTGACTTCTCAGCAGCCTGCGTCACCAGGGCTCCAACATACACACAGAGAAATCCTAATTCCAAAAAGAAATCACTGTTAAAAACTAACTTTGTATCAAGCATTATTTCCAGTAGTGGGGATTCAAAGAATGGTCACCCAGTTCCTGCCCTATGAAGTGTACACTAGGAAACCTTCCAAAATTTATAAAATAATGTTCCATTCTTCATTTTGCTTATCTTAATGGGCTTCCTGCTTTCCCCATCTAAAAATTAAATTGATTTGTGCTTTAAAATGGATGAGAAATGATACTTTTATTCTACAGATTTGTATGAGACACCATTCTTTGGGAGCTCTGGTGGCGTAGTGCCTAAAGCACTTGACTGCTAACCAGAAGGCTGGCGGTTCAAACCCACCAGCCACTCCTCAGAGGAAGGTTGGGCCATCTACTTCCGTAGAGATACTGCCTCAGAAACCCAAGGAGGGGTCACTATGAGTCAGAATCAACTCAACGGCAGTGAGTTTGTTTTTTGGTTTTGATATATTTTGCATAAATTTTCATGTTTTAAGAAATTGGAAATTTTTGAATCTTGCTTCTAGAAGCAGTTCTTTCCAGAAGTTTCATTAGTGCTAGAAAATGTTTTCTTGTGTTCAACATGGTAGCTATTGGCTATAGAACACTTGAAATATGGCTAATGTGACTGAAGAAATTAACTACCTTTTATGTTAATTTATATAGTCACATGTGCCTAGTGGCTACTGTATTGGCAGCGCAGTCGAAGTCTGGGACGGAGGGAATATTGTTTATATAGTAAACGGTGCTAAAAGTTCGGTGGTTTAGTTCACCCAGAAATACCTCAAAGTTTGGCAATCTACTTCTAAAAATCATCCACTGCAAACCCTATGGAGTACAGTTCTACTCTAATACAGGGGGTCACCACGAGTTGGACCTGATTCCATCGCAACTTCTTTGGTTTTTAGTTTAGGAAACTGATTTTAAGCAATGTCTCTGCTTTTACAGGAATAAAGCAAAAACAAAACATCCAACCATCTGCCATCGAGTGATTCTGACTCATAGTGACTCTATAGGACAAAATAGAAGTTCTCATGGTGTTTCCAAGGCTGTGAATCTTTATGTAAGTGATACCTCTTTCTCCCACAGAGCAACTGGTGAGTTACAACTACTGATCTTTTGTTCTGCAGTGGAATGTTGATAACCACTGTGCCACCAGAGCTCCTTGAAGAAAGCAAAAGGTCATTAAAAGGAGAGGAAAGAAAGAATAGACCAGACTGGGTGACAGAAGAGACTCTGAAACTTACTTTTGAACAGAGAGTAGCTAAAGCAAATGGAGGAAATGGTGAAGTAAAAGCTGAACAGAAGATGTTAACGGATGGGTAAAGAAGACAAAGTAAAGTTTTATAATGACATGTGCAAAAACCTGGAGTTAAAAAAATCAAAAG